CGCCACCGTCCACGCCGGTCTACGTCATGCTGTCAGGGTTCTTCGCCTACGTCGAGCACCGCCGCCGCACTCCTAACCTAGCCGCCGCCGCCGCCTTCAGGCCGCCGCTGCCGCTCTTCTTTGGCCGCCGCCGCCGCTACCTTTGTAGCCGCCGCCGCCGCCCGTCCACCCCCTTCGTCTTCGTCCAGCACCAGCTCGTCGCCAGCGTCGCCGTCATCTACCCCGGCCACTTCATCTACTCCGTCAACCGCGGGCGACATTGGCCCCGTGCCGATTGGCGCCGCAACCGTCGTCGAGTCCTTCTCTGCTGGCCTCTCCAACTTCTCCGACATGGTGTACAGCTCGTGCAGGTCTCTCGTCTACGCATGCCCGGTGCTGGCAACACCGCCGCGCCTTCGTCCACGACGTGTCCCCGGGCCTGGCAAGCCTGGCGTGGCGCTTCGTCAACTTCGTCTTCGTCCGTCTACGCATGCCCGGTGCTGGCAACACCGGTGCGTGCCTTCGTCCACGATGTGTCCCCGGGCTTGGCAAACCCGCCGCGACGCGTCGTCAACATCATCTACTTCCTGGCGCACCACTACTTCGACACCACTGCGCCCATGCTAACTCGGCGCCCCCTTGCGCCCGCGGCTCCACGGCGACTTCCTCGACACCGGCTACCCCGACTCGACATCAACCACGGCATTGTTCGCACGGCTACCTCGACCACGGCTCCACCACCCACGCTCTCGGCTACATCGACAAACGGCACAAAGGGCTACCGCCTGCTTGAGCAACCTCGTTGGTTTCCATTCCAGCCACGACTCCGCGATGCATCGACCGTTACGACTGTGGGGGGTGTCCGTCGGCTTGCCTTCGGATTCTTCTCCAGTCTCACCGTCTGCATCGCTACCGTTGTGACTGCGGGGGGATGTTGAGTAACGTGATTGTATAGGAAACATAGATTAGACTAGGAAATATTCTGGCTTGCCTTGTACTCCAAGTAGATCATTGTACTGCTATATATATGCCCACGAGGACAGATATACAAAGTAAGGTATCCGTGAAACCGGTGGTGCTCTCCTCTGGCACGGAAGCAAGCTGCCCCTCCGTTCCGCTACCTTGTAATAGGACTCTGAGACTGGTATACTCCGCCATGCTCATACTTTGTGAAGCTCAAAGAGATTGGCAGGGGAGAAAACTATGAGAAGTACGGGCCGAGAATCAACACTAATTACCGATGATGCATCGATAATTTCAATGAGAGCTCCCATTATAATTTGTAAAAAAAAACACCTATTGCCGGATCCGCCTGACAGCGACTGACAAGTGCCGGACCTGGGAGCCGACCAGAGCCGCGAGATGACGACGACACCATGTCTCTAAATTTTGGTGCGATAGCAACGCAGGTCTCTAAATTTTGTATGTACATATGGTTTTGGTAATAGTTGGTACCAGCTTAGTGCTTCTTTTGTTTACTGGTTGATGATTGTTAATCAGCGGTGCTTCTCTTGATTAGAACTTCGGCTGGTGGAGAAGAGCTGATTAGTCAAAGTGAACTTTGCTGAAATCACGAATGAGTTCCATCACCTCTTCATCATGTAACGGAAGTACGTTGAAAATCTTTGTATATCTGTCCATCCATTGTTTTGTCAGAATGAACTCTGTTTAACTGCTACATATCATGTTTTACTGAACTAGATGAAATTAAGTGTGTATAGAATGCTGTGTAAACTCCAAACTAAGCGTGACAATTATCAGAGGAAGTCTATGAATGAAATTGACGCAGAAGCAGAATGGAAAAGTATTCAGCATACAGTCAGGACATCAAATAAATTCAAGAAAATAAAATCACACAGAGAATGTGACCAGTTGATGTAGTATCCGCCGCTTAAGCAACCAACGGAATTCAGTATATAACTTCACTTCAAAAGGAAAGAAATAATTCCAAATACAGTGACGAAACACATCTTCGGTCTCTCATTTGTCGGGTGACTCTAGCCGATGCCTCAAATAGTTTTCATCCTTCAAATAGGTCTCCCAGCATCTCCTCCAATACCTCGGGACTGCTGCTTCCGCGGCTTACCTGTTCAGCTAGCTCTGGATGCTCCTTCAGGTAGTCACGGTAACCTGAAATGACTCTCTTGATGATAGCTCTGCGCAGCACATCTCTGAGCTGGGGGTCCGGAACCTTCCAGAACTTCTGAGTCTGGTATGTTTTATGAAATGCTGACTCGAATTTAGCTAGTGGAGAAGTGTTGATCCAACAACGTAGAAGTCCAGGAAATTTTGATTTCGGTATGCAAGACAACACATGTCCCCAAGAAAAATGAAGATAGAAATCCATGTACTTCTCGCATTCTGGTGTAAGTTTAGTTCCCGATGGGTGAGAGTGAGACATCACCTGAGCAACAAAATAGGAATTGTTGAGTAGGAACATAGACCTGAGCCTTGGATCCAAGAACCACTCCGATTTTCTCAGAAGCTGATCCTTAAGATAATCAATTGTTTCATCTATGGCGTCACGAATCTTTACAGTGTTTTGGCTTTGTGCAGAGTTGAGCGTGGAAGCACATGCTTTCCTCATCGACAGTATGCAATGCACCAAGAACCGAATATTTCTGTGAACTCTTCCTCCGCTTCGTGCAATCTCAATAGTCCACGGGTTGTCACAATAATTTGACCTGATGTCCATCATGGTGCTGGATATGGCCTGAGTTAATCCGTTCTCTTCTGTCTTCAACAAGACGCTTATCTCATCGAAAATGTGTTGGGCTTCCAAAGAGACAGCGGGCATCATCATAATCATGTATGATGTGCTGGAGACGCACATGTACATGTGCAGGGCAACCTGTAGCTTATCCTCCTCGATACCTTTGAGCATGGTGTCAACAACGACGAGCATTGCTAAGATACTCGCTTTGCCAAACCGTGCGACAGCCAGCGCCTCATGGACGAGCATTACTTCCTTGATACTGGCGACAATTATGGTGAGAGCTCGGATCCACCTCTGGACCAATTGTTGGCGCCAATATGCAGTCACCTTTTGGAGCCGGAGCCGGAGCTGCGGCCGTAATTGGAGAACCCAGTCGACGTCGAGCTCGACGAACCAATTCTTCAGCGTAGGGTCCGGGGCAATTGTTTCCATGAGAGATGTGATGTGGAATGCTCGTACCATGCGCTGGGTGTAGCCGTCGCTGACCATTCTGTGAGCAATCTTGGTGAGCTCGCTGGTACCCAAGTCTGCTCTGCCCACGGACGCGGAGCCGGAGGAGTAGCCGGAGTTGTTGGACCTGGAGGCAACAGAGCTGCTGGAGTCGTAGTTGGACCCGCTTTGACCGGACTGGGAGGAGAGTCTCGATCTGATGCACCACTCGGGGCAGACGACGCCGACGCTCCGGATTGAGTCGCGGTAGGAGTTGGGCGGCGGACCCAAGGCATCCGTGAAGCCGGTGGTGCTCTCCTCCGGCACGGAAGCAAGCAGTCCCTCTGTGCTGCTGCTTCCTTGCAATAGAACTCTTGACAGGTGGTCCGCCATGGATGCTATGCTACTCTTCTACTTTGTGGAATTCGAAGAGATCGGCAGTGGAGAAAACTATGACAGGTGCCGGCCCTGAATCAACACTAAATCACTAATTGCTAATGATACGTCGATAATTTCGATGAGAGCTCCCTCCCAATATAATTTATAAAAAACACCTATTGCCGGATCCGCCTGACAGCAACTGACAAGTGCTGGACCCGGGTGCAGAGTGCAGACCATAGCCGCGAGATGACGACCACACCATGGCCAGCAGTTGTACGTAAAGGATATATAGGACTACGCCCTAGTGCCGACGACGCCGACCGGCTCAGGCATGGCGAGCTCCTGTGCGAACAGATCAAGCAGCCAAATCGAGCTGCGCGGCTAGGCCGAGCTACTTGGCGTCGTCTCCGTCTGTGTTGCGTTGCAGCTTCTGCTTGTTACGTGTCGCGCAGGAAAGGGAGGAAGTTCTCCGAGGTAACGACGATCGAGGAGGACGCAGCCGCCGTCGAGGAGTCCTTCCCCGTCAGTACTCAGGAGACCAACACTGATCTGAACAAGACTGTAATCACAGGAGAGGCATCCACACGCTCCATTACTCAGATACTCCAAGCGCAGCCTCAACACAACGAGCACAAGTTTTCATCTCGCATGCTGAGGTCGAGTCGAGATTTAATGAAGTTTCCTGAGAATCCTTGAGACGCATTGGGAGAAGTATGCGTGTTGAATGATCAGCATTTCGCAACAGTGTTCTCAGCGAGTGGGGACATTGACACTGGCAGGCTTCGTTTCTTGGCGGTCTCAGTTTTCCACGGTGAAAACCCTCAGGCTGACCTTCATGGTTGTTCCTGGCAATGGCGGCTTCCTAGTCGTTCCCTTGCTGAAGGCATTGCACGGAGACTGGACCTCCTCCAAGGTGAAAATCCAGGATCTGACTATGATAGTTGGATTGACCGGACGGCCGTGGTGTTTTTGCACTTTTCCTTCGAGTGGTGTCGTTTCGGAGAACCTTTTTCGGAGTATAGGTGTCGTCACTGCTGCTGGTGCTCTTGCTGCGGTGACTCTCTGATTGTTTTGGCGGGGACTTTGTTTTCTTTTTTCTTCTTTTATCTTTTCAGCCGTGTGCATCATTAATGTCTAGACTTGCTCCAGATGTTATGTTGTTGCAGAGGTTGGATGTAATTGGTTTCAACTTGATATTAATATATTCCCTTTAAGAAAAGAGGTTTTGATGCTTGTTAAAGGAGAAATCTTGATGTTTTGCTGATTCAGTTTATGCTGTTGAAAAGACTTTGTCCAATCCGTGATGAGGATACATGTTGGAGTGAGTGTCAGTTTAGCAATGGCCTATTATATGTACTTAAAGGTTAAATAAAGGCCTGCACATTTCACTCTAGCAGATTAAGAAAAGGTCGACTAAGAGTGTACCCACAGTGCTTAATTTGGCTGGTCTTGATTTATAATGGTGCTCAATAGACCTTAGTGCTCTTACACGTGTGTAATACTCCCACCATTCATTTTTATAAAACGTTTCAGACAGCTGACTTGAACTATTTTGGGCACAGTCTGGACTGTCTAAAACTTCCTATAAAAGTGAACAGAGGGAGTGAATGGTAAAGGGATTTTCACTTATAAATAGTACAAACATGTACTCCGTAGTAAATAAAACTGTTTTGGGGACGAATTTTCTCATCGTATTGTTTATCAGTACGGGGTTTACCTTTAGGTTTCAGTGATCTTGGCATCTGGAAGCTGAAGTTGTACTGAAACGGACAAAAATAAGTGCATACAGAATGACGAATGGTTTTCATCCTTCAAACAGCTCTCCCAACATCTCCTCCAAAACTTTAGGACTGTTGCTTCCGCCACTGACATCTTTTTCTAGCTCTGGATGTTCCTTCAGGTCGTCACTGTAAACCGAAATGACTATCTTGGTGATAGTTTCCCGCAGTAAGGATCGGAGGCTCGGGTCGGGAACCTTCCAGAATTTCTGAGCCTGGTATGTTTTATCAAATGCTGACTGGAATTTAACTAGTGAAGGGGTGTTCACTCAACGATGGAGCAATCCAGGAATCTTTGATTGCGATATGCAGGACAGAACATGTCCCCAAGAAACATCCAGATAGTTATCCATGTACTTATCACATTCAGGTGTAAGTTTAAGTCCACCGTGGTGTCCAGGCACCACCTGCTGCGCTATGAAATATGAATTGTTGAGCAGGAACAGACACCCAAGGCTTGGATCCGAGCACAACTCTGATTCTTGTAAAAGCAAACTGTTTAGATAATCGATGGTGTAATCTATCAGTTCTTGAAGCTTTTCTGTGTTGTGGCTCCGTGCGGAGTTCCTCTGAGTCGAAGCAATTGCTTTCCTCATCAACGTTATGTAACCCACCATCAATCGGGTTGTTTTGTGAACGTCACCTCCTCCTTGCAGAATCTCGGTGCCCCACGAGTTAAGGTCCTTCATGAGTGTTGTCCTCCTCAGCTGCTCCATCGTTTCGCATATGGACTCGATTAACCTGTTCTCTTTGCTCTCCAGTGTGCTGCCAATCTTGTTGAAAATCTCTTGGGCATCCGAAGAGGTCGCGCGCATCGTCAACATGGCATATGATGCGCTGCAGACGCACATATACATTTGTAGCATGGCTTGTAAATTCTCCTTCCTGTGAACCTGGACGATGGCGTCGACAAAGATGAGCATTGTTGAGACGCTCGTTGTGACAAACTGTGTGGCCGCTGGCGCGCCGCTACCAGCAGTGACCAGCTCTTCATCGATACTGGCGACAATTATTATGAGAGCTCGGGTCCACCTCTCGACCACTTCTTGCAGCCAATACCCACATCCACATTGGAGCTGGAACTGCAGCGGTTTGAGAATCCAGTCCACGTCGAGCTCGACGAACCAATTCCTTAGTGCAGGGTCCAGGCCAAATGATTCCGTGAGAGACGCGCTGTGGAATGCATGTACCATGCGCTGAGTGTAACCTTCGCTGCCCATTCTGTGAGCTATCTTCGTGAGCTCGCTGATACCCAAATCGGATGAGCCAACGGACGCCGAGTTGGAGTAGCCGGAGGTGATGGATCTCAAGGCACCAGAGTCGCTGGAGTAGGTGGATCTGCTCTGATCGGAGAGACTCGATCTGATGCGCCACTCGGGGCGGACGACGCACACGCTCCGGATGGACTCGCGGTAGGAGTTGGGCGGCTGGCCGAAGGCATCCGTGAAGCCGCTGGTGCTCTCCTCCGGCATGGGAGGAAGGTGCGCCGTCGTGCTCTCCTCCGGCACGGGAGCAAGCTGACCCGCCGTGCTCTCCTCTGGCGCGGAAGCAAGCTGACCCGCCGTGCTGCTACCTTGAAATAGGGCTCTAAGACCTCTAAACACGCTTGACAGGTGGTACGCCATTCTTCTACTTTGTGAAGCTCGAAGAGATTGGTAGGGGACAAAACTATAACAAGTGCCGGGCCGGCATCAACACTAATAGTCATGATGTAACGATAATTTCGAGGGAGTTCCTATTTATAATTTATGATAAGAACACCGATTGCCGGAACCGCATGACAGCGACCAACGGCTACACTAGTAGCTGTTAGATGTACGTCTGCTGCATGTCGTTCAGCCCCCACGAAGTTGTTGGGGGAGCTCAGCTTCCATGTACCCCCTTATCCTTTTTTTTGTGTGAAATAACTCTTTATTACTCAATTTTTTTTAGGGTTACTCAAAAATTAGGGAGTACAATCTCGTAGAGCAACATTAAGGACTTCCTCTGGGCCGGACCCTAGCCAAACCATAGTTCGACCATTGGCCCTACCAAAGTTTGCTATGGAATGACTAGCACTATTGCCACTAAGACGTACTCCCTCCGTCCAAAAATTCTTGTCTTAGATTTGTCTAGATACAGATGTATCGATACATCCATATCTAGACGATTCTAAGACAAGAATTTTGTGACGAAGGGAATATATGAGTAATAGAAAAGTGACGTTCCTCCATACTTTGCTTGATCTCTCTGATAATAAAAAAAAATACTTTGATAGATTTGTTTCACTACTCTTCATCATAGCCACCGCTCCCAAACAGTCTGATTCAATATCAATGAGTAAATTACTCCAATGAAAGCCAATGAAATAACTTCCTGCAGCGCAAGAATTTACGTTTTCAAAACATCCGCACTTTCTCCCAAAAATCTGCATAAGCTGAAAATAATAACGCCAAGGCGATCACGAAGAAGCATACCCGTACCGGCAATTCCATTGAGGACCGAACCATCTGTGTTAAGCTTAACATGCCCAAGGACCGGAGGGATCCATGATGTTTTAGGCATTAGTGCATTATTATTGCATATGTGGTGCACCAATGGGTAACAAGGGTTGGCCACCATCTTTCCTTTCATAAAATCTGCATTAGGATCCATCTTGAGTGAAGCTAGTGAATCAACATAACTTGATAAAAATCTAACTGAAACATCAGTAGGTGGTGCCATAGTCTTCAGAAAAGCATCATTACATGAACTCGCATAGCCTCATCTACATCACAAATAAGCTGCCGCAACCAATCATCATGGCGCAATAGTGGATGTACCCACTTGTCTAACCACTCATTTTCTGCATTGCGATCCATGCACATTTGTTTACTTTTTGTCTCCAAAAATAAAACAACACGTGAACTACAAATTTTTCAG